TTTTTTTTCTTCTTTTTTTCTTTTAAATAAATATGAACAATTTAAAAAAAATAAAAGAAAAATAAAATAATATAAATTTTTACATATAAATATTTATAATTTTGGTTTATATATATAAAAATAATTTTTTAATTATATTATTAAGCGGGGCGGGTATGGGGACGGGGGCGGGGTGGGTATTAACATCCCCACTCCCGCCCCCGCCCCCGATTTTATCAATCGGGGAAAACCCGAACCCGAACCCAAACCCGATAAACACGGGTTTTCCCCATCCAAATCGGGGCGGGTTCGGGCGGGTACCCACGGGAGCGGGTTAGATTGCCATGCCTATTTAACTCCCATTAATTGTTGAGGATTAATTACTATAAAATATTTGTAGATGGGGTTATTTAACCTCATCATTGTTATTTTTATTTTAACATTTATTTCTTAATTGTGTACGTCAATAAGTTTTTGAGCCACTATTATTCTCATAAATTATTTTTTTTATTTGTTGTGTATATATACATACATACATACACACACACATATATATATAATACTAGTTTTTAGAAGATCTTATTTTTATTAATAAAGCTTGTAAATCAAATCAAGAAATGAATTTGCAAGTTATAAATATAAACTAAATTTATATTTCTAGCATAAGGTACTGAAGCTTAAAATTAATATAATGTAGCATAATAGTACTAAAGGACTATTCTCATGAAGTCACTCCTAACAGAAGAAATAGACTACAAATTACTCAAAATAAACTAGCACACAGTTTTTATCTTCAAAAAATGAAGCACAAATCAACTACAAATTAATTAATTGTCTTTTAAGCTATCACCCACACCCCATTTCACGTTGAGAATTTGTTTCATATGTTGGCACACTTCCTTGATCATAAACCTATAATATAAACATAAGTCATAATTAGAAACACAAAATATACAAAATTAGATATTGAAAAAAGTGATTTCATTTTGAAACACTACCGGTGAATTATTGAACATAGCCATGTCAAAAGGTAATTGGCCTTGATAGTTTTGAGAAAAAAAGTTCATCATTGCCTCAAATCTTTTATCTCGTTCTTCAAATTTTTTATTTTGTTCGATCAATGTTCTATTTTGTTCATCCAATTGTGATTTCAACGCAGTCACCTGTATTAAAATACCACTTTAAATAAATTAGTGTAACATGCACAAAGAGATCAATAACATTTTTACTTGGTCTCAATTATTCAATATAATCTTAACATGGAACATTAAAATCTAAAACCTGCACCTGCTGGTTAAAAAAATCTGCATCTGCTGGTTAAAAACATCTGTTGCAGCCAAATCTATTACAGCTGGCCCGAAAACACCTGCTGACTAGGCTAATGCACTAATTCTGCTGCCAAATCAGATAATGATTAAGTCTTGAAGCATAAAACGTTGTATATTCCTTAAACTAAAATCCAAATTTAATCATATAATCTTAACATTGAACATTAAAATCCAAAACCTGCACCTGCTGGTTAAAAGAAAATCTGCATCTGCTGGTTAATTAAAAACATCTGTTGCAGCCAAATCTGTTATAGCTGGTCTGAAAACACCTGCTAGCTAGGCTAATGCACTAACTTTGCTGCCAAATCTGGACTTATCTAGTCTGAATCATGATATGGAGATTAAAACAAATTAAACTCAATTATATATACAGGGGAAGAGGGGTACCAATAATAAACAAGGTATCCTAGAACACAAAATGCAAGTCTACACATTGAAAATCTAGTGAGGACACGATTGTAGTAGAATTTTTTTGAACCACATTGAAAATCTATACCCGAATCGATATTAAACATGATTTTAAAATTTGAATCGAACGGATGATTCAACCCAGATTGTTCTCTTCAATCTAGTTTAGATCATCGAGTCAACTCAGTCTCGTGTCCATTAATTTTTATACTTGACACCAGTTTTTGAAAGTGAAAAAAAGACGGACTAAAATGTTGAGAAGAATTTTTGTAATTAAGCATGAATAACAACAATTACTAATGTCGTCTATATATACATTCATGATTCATATATATATAATTTGATACTTTAAGATTATCTCGCAGAAGATAAAACCAATGGTTCCTTCCTACAAGGTGAAAAGGCACACAATAGTAGTGCATATGAAATTTTGAATCCACCGAAAGTACCACTAGTCCAAAGAAGCTTTGTTTTTTTTATTGATCACCAAAGAATATGTTGGTTCCTCTCAGTAAAATACTGATATCAAGAAGATGAAAAGGGGTCAGGGATCAAGTTTAAGGAGTCAAGAAATGGAAACAAAATTCAATAGAAAAAGAAAACTATGAAGATACGATATGAAAGTGTATAAAAAGATTAAAAAATAAATGATTATCAGTAGATGTAGACAAACCTCAAACCTCAATAAAACATCTCCATTGTGCAAAAATCATGCGATCCCATTCAACATTCAACTATTGCATTTGCTTGTTTTCTAAATTTTCCAATATGCTCTTGCAGCTCAGCGTTCCACTCCTTCATATTCTACATGAGATTATATGATTAGAAAAGGGGCAGAGAGAAATAGAGGAATTAAGAATTTCTAATTCAAACATTGTCAATATTGTCAATGTCAGAAATATCCAATGTCTTATCCTCCATGTTAAACCTTATCATAAAAGTGAACTACACAGTGGAGTGGAAATCATGTTTTTAAGGGGTGCATGCCATAAAGCATCTTTGATTGGTTTGCTGTTATGTAAAACTTGTACAATGGTACTACTCACAACAAAGTTATATGCATGGGAAGAAAGGGGAAAAAAAGATAAGAAAAAGCCTATCAATTTAATTACTTCTTTTTGTTTCCATTTGCTTATACACACACTACTGTCGAATTATTTTCCATTTAACCACATCACCAATCAAGCAAGAAGTGATTACTTCAGAGCTATATATATTACATAATGCCCTAGAGAAGATTTTGGGCCTAATATTAAGATATTACTTATTAGTAACAATTAGGATACCCCGGTGAAGTTAAGCAAATTTTTTGGATATATGGAGTGAATATATAAATAAAATTTTGGATAATAATATATTAGTGAGTGGTAATAGAATGTAGGTAGCAAGCATCTTTTCAGCGCTCTGTTTCTCACACTCACTTTCAAGGGTTGCTCTGGTTACATGCAAATGACATAAAACGTTGAAACATGAACGACGGGCAGCGGCAAAAAATGATGGAGCTTTCGAGTTCTAATCTTACCCCAAGATAAACACAAAAACGATTCTGTCTCATATTCAATTAGTACAATCACATATCCTATCCATTTTTTCAGTTTACTACAGGGAAACACATCCCTAATTCCCTTCAAAGCCTTGAACACAAATTCTGGCAAAACAATATTCAACAAAACATGAAAAAAAAACAAACTCTTTGCAAAATAGAAAAATGAAAACTCATCGAAGATCAAATCCAGACAACGGGCATTACTTTCGAAAGGACAAGAAGATCACTTCTCTCAATGAAACCAAGCAGCGCCTCAATAAGGAGAGGTTCAAGACGTTAGGGTTTGTTTTCGTGTTTAAAATGCTTCCCACTCTAAAATGCTTCAATTTATTTTCACGTTTCACATTATAAGTTCTTAACGTGTTTTCAGATTTATTTTTTTATTTAATTGTTGTTTTATTTTGTGCTTCTCAAAAAGAAAAAGAAAACTAAAAAGTTGTCTTTATTAGAAAGAGGGAAAGGAAATAATTGGAGGGAAATTAAAAAAAAATATTTTAATTAATTAAAATAATATTACTCAGGGTTTCTAAAAAACACTTGGCACTTTCCCAGGGTTTGAAATCAAACCCCTATAATTTAACTAGGGTTATTAAAACCCCCGTAAGTGTTTACATTTTCAGGGGTTATAGTAACCCCAGTTAAATAACCCCAGTTAAAAACATAATTTCTTGTAGTGTAAGAAACGAATTCACCTAATGTACATAATAAATCAAAGTAGGTGAATTAACCAAAATAGCTTTCCCTATCACTCCACGGAGATGATGATCAATTCAATGCTTGAGGTCTTTCTCGAGGTTATCACAAAGGTTACTAAACCTCTTATTGCAAAGAAAAATGTTTTACAAATAGTGTTTTCAAAAAATATATCACAAATATTAAAGTCTCTTTGTTTTAAGTGTAAAAAGTGATATATATATATATATATATTATATATATATATATATATATATATATGTATATATATATATATATATATGTATATATATGTATATATATGTGTGTATATATATGTGTGTGTATATATATATATATATATATAAGTTTTCTTATAGAAACAATCAATTATTTTGAGCAATAATTGATTATTTTAGAAACTAGTTTATGTAATAATCGATTATTTTTCTAAATAATCAATTATTACAACAATTGCTCTTCATGTTACTGAAAAACAAAACAAATAATTGACTATTACTTATGATCGATAATTGATTATTTTAAGTGAAAACTCAATATCTTGATTTTTCATACCATTTCTCTTTACAAATCAATTTTAAAACTTGTTTTCTTTTCATCAATTATCATCCAGATAGAGATCTAAGACTAAGTTATTTATCAAGTACAAAACACACAAACAACAAAACTTTAAACACACAAACAAGATACAACTTCTACTCTTTCCTTCCAAGTGGCTCAAAACAAATAAAAATACAAGTTACACTCTTTTTTTTTTAAAAGGCTTATTTGTAATCATCAAAACTAACATAGACCATATCTTCATCTTGAATTTGATCTACAATAACTGTTTTGTCGTAAGTAGAACCTTAAAAATTGTTGTGATACAATCCACATAATAGAAGATAAATTGTTTGTGACTCAATGTAAAATAGACATTTGCTTAAAATTTTCAACTTTTAGTAATTTTTTTTATATTACTACGAGTCAATTTTCTTATCATGTAATTTTGGTTATAAAAAAAATTGATACAAAATATTCACCAAGTTGTTTTTTATGACTAATGTATCCGGTGTTAAATAGACAAATGTATTACTTTGAATATCTGGTAAAATAGTTGAAGAGCAGAGGAGGAAAAGGACAGAAAAACGTATAAAATCGATGATATGGATAAACGACAAGTTGAGCCAACCAAGTGTGATCTTGAATTGAACAGTCAGAGAGAGGAAGAAAGAAAATTACGTATAGAAAGGAGGCTAGGAGCACTTGGAGAAGGATTTTGACCTCACGACCACGTCTACTTTATAGCCACTCTTCTTGATTAATTATATGCAACCTTAGTTTATTGCTGTCGTCTATTTCCACCATATATATATCAAGTATAATTAATGTGATGCATGCATGACTCATGTGATAATTTTAATTTGATTGTGACCTATTCAGTGATCAAAATCAGCGTTTTATGCAAAAAAACAACGAAGCTTCCAAGTTGGATTAATGAGGGGGCATTTAGGGTGGTGAATATTGATAATGACAGATATAATAATTATTCATTTGTTGCGAAGGATAATTCTTTTTGGAAGCGGGGCAGAAAACAAGAAAATAGAGCATGTACTTAATTATTTCTATTTTCTCCGAGTTTAGAGGTCCACCATGCATTAACGTATATCTTGGACTTCCTAGTTCCTACTTGTCATTACTCATTACTGAAAAAGATTATTTCCACATTATATACCTGAGTTGATTAGTGTCCCCTTTGCAATCAAAACCAGTTACCTAATTTACCAAATTAATTAATATGGTTTATATATATATATATATATATATATATATATATATATATAT